GACATTTTATTTAGCCGAAGATGCTTGTCCTCATGAAGCTGCAGCATCAGTAGCAGCAGCCACATCCCATCTGGCACTTATGAGAAGGTGTTCACTGGGCGCCTCCAGGGTGCCGGGTGCTGTGCTAGCCAAATCAATCCAGATCAAAGAGCCGGTCATTGTCACCATCTGTCAAGGCGACTGTATTCAAACTGTGAGTCTCTCTTCATTCTTGTTCTCACATACACACACACATACTCAACTGAAGAGTATGTTTATGAAGCACACTGTCAACAAAACAATGAATGGAAGTTTACTTAGGCATCTCTCTACCCAGCCCGTCAGGCAGCCCTTTAGCCCAGTGTTCCTCAAAGTGTATTCTTCTCCTGAGATTTTGTCAAAACTCAGACTTAGATCTAGTAGGTCTGGGGTAAAGCCGGAGAGTCTGCACTTCTAACAAGCTCTGTTAGTGAGATCAGGCCTCGATACTTAAAAATGTCGTCCGTGGACAGTAGATTTGGCGTCACCGGGGAGCTTGTTAGACGTGCAGACTCTCAGGTGCCACCTCAGACCTACTGGGTCAGAACCTGGATTTTAACAACACCCCACATTAACATTGGAGAAGCACTGCCCTAACCATTTCATAAATCTACAGTTTAAATTATGGGCGGGGGTCCAATGGGGTTCTGGGTTGAAAGTAAGGCCAGGTGGATCTCCTTTTTCCCTTGTTTATCTCAAAACTCTTTTAGGGGTCGGCCCTGTGGCCTAGTGGTTAAGTTCAGCACACTCCCCTTTGGTGGCCTTAGTTTGGGTCCCAGGTGTGGACCTATACCACTAGTTGGCGGCCACGCTGTGGCGGTGACCCACATACAAAATAGAGGAAGACTGGCACAGAGGTTACCTCAGGGTGAATCTTCCTCAGCAAAAAAACAAAAAAAACCCAAACAAACAAACAAAAAACTCTTTTGGGTACCTGACCCAATATAGCATCTAACACTCACATAAAGACACAGACAGATGCCTCTTTGATCAATCATTCAGTGGCATGATGAATTTGTTATTATCCAACCGGGATTGCCATTGTCTTTAAACATGGGGGCCAGCCGACCAAGCAACCCCTCTCCGGAGAATTTTATTTTAGACAAAAGGTTTCACCAGAAGAGACACCATCGTGTCTGAGCACGTCAGAATTGTTAACACATTTAAAACAAGCACTAGGCGATCAGAGCTTCTGTTTCCTCGTCTGTAAAACAGAGATAATAATACCACCTGTTCTAGCTTCCTTTATAGTCTCATTATGAGGAGGTTTGAAATCTATATGTGAAGGATCTTTGAAAACATAAAAATGTTCGTGAGATTTTACAACAGCTTTAGTGAGAAAAAAAGTAATATGTGTTTCAGTGCCAGAGACATCTAGATTCAAAATTTAGCCTTATCATCTACGAATTTTGTGATTTCTGGAAAATTATTTCATTTAGTTGAGCCTCAATTTCTTTTTATATGAAATGGTTATAAAAACATCCACCATGCAAGGTTGCAGTGAGGATTAAAATGTTAATAATACGTGTAAAGGATCTGGTGCATGGTAGAATTTAATAAATGGTAGCCAAGAGCAACACATGAAGGGGCTTGGTTGAGAAATAATCCTCCAAAGATAATTTTTCCCTCAGGTAAGCCTCTTACATTGGAGTAAAGAGAGTGACTTTATTTTATTTTTTTAATTTTTTGTTTATTGCAGTAATATTGGTTTATAACATTGTATAAATTTCAGGTGTACATCATTAGACTTCTATTTCTGCATAGATTACATCATGTTCACCACCCAAATACTAATTACAACCCATCACCACACACATGTGCCGAATTATCCTTTTCGCCCTCCCCCCTCCCCCTTCCCCTCTGGTAACCACCAATCCAATCTCTGTCTCTATGTGTTTGTTTGTTGTTGTTATTATCTGCTACTTAATGAGGGAGATCATACAGTATTTGACCTTCTCCCTCTGACTTATTTCACTTTGCATAATACTCTCAATGTCCATCCATGTTGTCACAAATGGCTGGATTTCATCGTTTCTTATGGCTGAGTAGTATTCCATTGTGTGTATATACCACATCTTCTTTATCCATTTGTCCCTTGATGGGCACTTAGGTTGCTTCCAAGTCTTTAAAGCTGGTTAAAGTTTTGAATAAATGCCCGTCTGGTTCAAGAGACTGATATCTTGAAGTTCATTATCTAAGTATCTGATATCTCGAAGTTCGTTATCTAAGTATCTCTGGCAGAAAAATCCCCAAACCTCAAATAAGGTTTTAATGTTTATTTAAATATTCATGAGTGCCAGCCACTGCAGGGCTTTGTGACCAGCAGGATTTGCTATGATTATTCTGTCTCATTCACACGCTCTCCTCAGAGGCGCCAGAGGGACTTGGTGGCGTCCACAAGAGCCTAGCACTGGTATGGAGGAAGCTTTCCACATTGGTGTCCATGCAAGCAAACACTCCAGACCATGGGAAACAGCAGAACTAGTGATACAAGGGTCATGTAAGACGGCTCAAGAAGATTGCTCTGAGGACTGTGGGAATCGATGGTACCCTCATTATCAGAAGAACAGAACAACAGGTCTTATTTGCTGGAGACGTGAGGGGGTGGCTGTTGCGTTGTTACTGCTTTACTGTCAGCAATTAAGCATTTGTGATACAGAGGGACTGTTGTCTATTTTAAAAGAGAAAGAAAACCAAGTCCTCACCATCCTTTCTCTATCTTCCCAACCTCTAACTCCTATTTTTGTTTCGGAAATAATTTTCCGAAAAATTAGGAGGGCCCTTTTTCAGGCCCTCAGATTTCTTAAGCCTCTTTTCAGGCAGGCTAAGCCTTTGGGAAGGGATTCTTGTGAAGAAGAGATCGCCCCTTTCTTTCCCTAGTGTTTGCAGAGTTCGTTTGGTGGCGTCCTTCCTGGTGAGATCCCCAAGGACCCAGGAGTGTGATTTCACAGTCTGAGGCAGAGTGTCACGTGACCTGCTTTTCCACCTGGGTCTCTTTGTGGGCTATGTATGCTCAATGCCATGGGAGCAAAAACACTTCACCAATAAGGCATTTCAGTGAAAACCTGATAGGAAGAGGGTGGGGTCAAGAGGGAAGTGAGTTGACAGAGAGAGGCGGCAGGGAGTGGCCAGAGGAGCCTTTCAACTGAATGACCAGCAGTTCTGAGCAAAGAGCAGTCTGTGAGGGAATACAGATGTCTCAGGTGTATTTTATTTTTTTTTTAATAACTTAAGCTTGAATGTATCACCAAGCCATGTTTGAGTGTGGATGGCAGAACCCCTTCTAGGTAGGGAAAGAACCCTTCAGTGGGATCCTGCTCCAAGTCTATTTTAACAGATTTCATGAGGGCCCTTCTGACTTTGGCCACCACTGTTGGCTCATTTTGTTAGGGCTTGACTCCTGAGTGGATCAGTTTATCTCCTGTGTCTAGACTACAGGACACAGTCTTCACCTCCAGCCAATCTCTACTTGTGGTCTTTGGGGAATATGTGGATGGAAGCTCTGGGTAAAGGGGCTTCATGAACCAGCAAGAAAGACAGGTTGACAGGTGTCACTTTTTAGAACATAAGGCCACATGGAAAGAGCATTTCCTAGGAGTCAAGAAACTGGATTTCAATCCTAACCATGCCTCCTACTAGCTATGGGACCTTGTTAGGCAAGTAGTTTTATCTCGTGGAGACCCAGGGATGATACCTACTGTAAATCTACTATAAACCTCACTGGAATTTTGTCGGGTCAAATGAGATAATGGAGAAGAGAGCACTGAAGACTTCAAAGCTGCACTGTCCAGTATGGTAGCCACTAGCCACATGTAGCTATTTTAATTTAAATTAATTAAAATTAAAAAAAAGGAAAAATTTAGTTCCTCAGTCACAATAGCCACATTTCAAGTGGTTAATAGCCACATGTGGCTAGTGGCTACCATATTGGACAACAAAGATATAGAACATTTGCATTATCACAGAAAGTTTTATTGGACAGCTCTGCCTCAAAGCGCTATCTAGGGTTTGATATTACGGACATAAAGGCACAAAAAAATATAAGGCACCTTTTAGGGGTGATAAATGCTGTCATAGTTAAGGATTCTTGGAAAGAAACAGAACCCACTCAAGTTAGCTGAAGGAAAACAAGGGATTTCTTTGACTAATTCAGGAAAAACTTATGAATCCCAAGGGCTGGAATCACAGCTAGGTTTCAAAAGAAATTGGAACCAGTTACAAGACGATTATCAGGAACTAAAGAAGCCACTCTCTCCTTCTCACTGTCTCTCTCTTTTTCTCTTCTTCTCCCTGTGGCCACTTGTGCTCTTGTCTCTGTTTCTCTGTATGTTGGTGGCTTCTTCCGTCTTCCCCTCCTGTTCCTCCTCATCCTCCTCTTCCTCCTCTCCTCCCTCCCTTCTCTGCAGACCGGCTTTCTCGGCTGCACTACCCATGGTCCAAATAGGGCTCAACTAGACCCAATTTTCATCACTTCTCGGGGTAATGCCTAACAGGCTGGGTCCTGATTCCACATTCCGAGGAGAGATATTCTTAGTAGCCAGCTTGGTGCAATAGCCACCCCTGCTCCAATCGGCTGTATCCAGGAGGATGGAGGTGGTGGCTCCATGCTTACTCAATAGGGACAGTGAGGGGTGGGGCAGATGCTTTCAAAAGGAGCATATGTGGGATGGGGATGGGTCACTGACTAACATACTCATCCTTAACACCTTGGAGAGGTCCACTGAGCCTATGATCACACAGACAAGAGTCGCCAGAAATTTGACCAAGGCCATGAAGAAAAGGAATGTGCTGCTGCTTCTTTTGTTGTTTGCATGGTTTGAATCACCAATACAGATTCCCAGGGGTTCGGCTTACCCTTCACGTCCATATACGTGGATGGAAGTGGGCACAGCCGGAAGGGAGGTGGAAATCAGGTCTAAGCCTTTGTCATTTCTTAAATGCAAACTGGGCACTAATGAGATCCTTTTCTCTCCTGCCTTTAGGAAGAAACATGAGGTTCCCCTGGAAATTACTCAAGAGGAAGATGGAAGGGGCTCTTTAAAATAGATTAAAAGCTGCCGGCTGCAAGACTGGGGCCAGAGGGCTGGCAGTGGAAAGCCCTGTTGGGTTGTGAACCCTCACGGAAAAGTTCCAGGTGCCTTTTTGCTTCCTGCAAAAGAAAGGAAGAGAAGGCGAAGACCATGTCCATGGCCTTGAAGCAGGTGTTCAATAAGGACAAGACCTTCCGGCCCAAGAGGAAATTTGAACCTGGCACACAGAGGTTTGAGCTCCACAAACGGGCTCAGGCGTCCCTCAACTCGGGCGTGGACCTGAAGGCAGCCGTGCAGCTGCCCAGCGGGGAGGACCAGAACGATTGGGTGGCGGTGCACGTGGTGGACTTCTTCAATCGGATCAACCTCATCTACGGCACCATCTGTGAGTTCTGCACGGAGCGGACCTGCCCTGTGATGTCAGGGGGCCCCAAATATGAGTACCGGTGGCAGGATGACCTCAAGTACAAGAAGCCAACGGCACTGCCAGCTCCCCAGTACATGAACCTTCTTATGGATTGGATCGAGGTCCAGATCAACAACGAGGACATATTTCCAACGTGTGTGGGTAAGTCCGCGACCAGCTTCTTGGTTATTTTGTCACAGCCTGCCCAAGCTCGGAAAGTTTGCAGAGGCTTCTTCCAGGCCTGCCTTTGGATGCTGGATCGCAGCCGTGTCAGTGTTTTCCTAAATTCCGTCACTCGCATACCTGTACTTTCTTTTTCCATATCTAGGAACATCACTGAAATTGAAAAAAAAAATCATCTGTGGACCACTTACAATCATTTTGTGGACCTCAGTGGTAGACGTACCACATCCTGGGGAACACTGACTTGGTGAAATGTTAGATTTGATCTTGCTGGCTTCCATAGGTCTAGACTCCAAACCCACACAGTTATCCTGGTAAGATTTTTATTTCAGGGCCAATTAGTTAAAGTTACATTAACTCTGGTGCAATTATTGTTATTCATGTCTCAGGTTAAGAAATCCCAGGGTGAGAATCCATGGATTTGTTTGGGGATCCAATGAACAGGGGGTTGGCATTCTGGGGAAATAAAGATACTGGCATTTTGTTCTTCCCTCTCCTGCTCATAGATCATTAATTCTAGGCTGTACTGTTAACTCTGGACCCTTGTGTAGCTGCTAGACCCACTAGGACACTTGAAATGCAAATGCTTTTGTCTGCTTTGTCCTCTGAGCCATAAAACTCTTCAAGGGGAAGGACCAAACATTTTCTCCCTCTTATATTTATTTATGCTGCTCATCATTGGATTTTCCATGCACTGATAGGCTGACTTTAGAATTCAGTTTTTTATCCCCTAAGTTCAATAAGAATGAGCAATCTCCTTCTTCCACTGTGGTATCTCCCCTGCCTAGCATGGTGCCCTAGAACCTTTGTAGGCACTCAGGAAATATTTGTGGAATGATTGAAAAAATACTTGGGCTGTTAGAAAGTATTATTAAAAAGCTCTGAGATGGTTGGGGTATTAAAAAAAGGCATTTGAAACACATTGTTGTAATCACCTCTAGATGGGGGGCAGCGGGAGTGTCCCCGTGTGGCATATGGAAGGTTGAGGTAGGGCATATGAAAGTAATTAAGTTTATACCAGAAAAAAAAGTGTATAAATTGATTAAGGCAGTATGTGCATCTTGAAATATTCAGCACACAAAGCAATTTGCTCAGAATCTTGGTGTTGACCTGTCCGGTTGCCTCATGCTCTGTCTCTCTGCGGTCCCTTGGTAAGGAAGGAGGTGGGGTATGCGGTAGTGCAAACCCCCTTGGATCCCTAGCATAGAAAGAAGAAGACAGCTTTCAAAAACTCCCCTGGCCATATAATAGGCCCCTCGGAGGGGTGGGAATTTCTTCGGTTCATGTCTTCTTGCGCTTTCATTGACTGTCAGAGGCTTCCTTTGGAGCTGGAAGGAATTTTTCCTTTCCGAAAGCATTGCAGGCAACTTCCAGTGCTCTGTGCAGAACATATGATAGCAATAAAGATAAATAGATGTGGGCAAAGAGACCTCCTCTTTGTCCTTCCCCTTCTGCTTCTGCTCCTTGATGCTTTAAGCTCTGGGCGCTTCTGCTCTCTCTGGCAGCTGTAGTGACCACATAGAGTTGCTGACCAGAAATAATAGCACAGAGCCATGGTGTGGTACTTGAGAGTGAGGAAGCTTCTGGCGGTCTGCTAGGAAAATAGGGCATCATAGGTGGTTTTAGACTTTCCTTGGAGGAAATCAGTGGATGCTGCCATATCCTCCATAGTAATTGACCTTGCTGTCTTTTTCTAGACAATTCCTTAGCCATTCAATGTGCTTGGGGAATGGACTTCCCTGATCAGAATCCTCTGTTTCAGCTCTTCCAATCCATGCTCCGTGGTACACCACTGTTCTGAGAGATCTTAATAGGTTTACCCTGACTTATTTTTCGGGAAAAATAAGTTTGGAGAATGCTGAGTGAAATTGATTTCTTTACTACAGGACTTTTAATATGCTAATGTGCATTATAGTGTGCATATTTCTCTCCAAGAAAGGAATACTCTAGTATGTGGTGTTTCCTGATTTGAACCTCATACCTTTTTCTTTAGTGAAACACCATTAGCATCTCTTTGGACATGTTAATCTAGATAAATTAGAGTTGTCAAACTTTTGTTTGTATCAGAATTACTTAGGCCTTCTGTTCAAAATGTGAATTCTTTGGTCCTCCCCCTTAACAACTAAATCAGAATCTCTTAGGTGAGACCTAAGAATCTGCATTTTTAATAAGCACCCACCACTCCTGTAACCACCCTGAATGCTTGTCATTCCCCCAGAAACAGTCTGTTACTACCTCTCTGGTTTTATCCATATTGTTCTCTCCTTCTGGAATCATTCATTTGTTCTATCTAGTGAATTCTTATGCATCTTTTATATCAAGTCCTCTGTGAAGGCTTTCATCCATTAGGATGTAGGCCCCTTAAAGTTATGGAATATGTCTTATTTATTTGAATATCCCAGAACTAAGTCCAGTCCTGGTACCTTATAAGTTGTTGAATGGATGGATGGGTGGATGGGAAAATCATCTTTATAAAGTCCCAACACGTGTATGGTGCTGGTGATCAAAGTGAAGTTAAACAAATGTCTCTGAATCCCTTTGTTACCATCCCTGGGTATTTCCTGCCCCTTGCCTCCACGGGGTTTAATTTTCTCTGTTTAACTTTTGCAAGGTAAAATGTTAGGGTAAGTAAAAACCACCACCATCCCCCATCACACTGAGAGTCCTCATCAGCAACCTGCTCACCTCTCTTATTTGTCCTCAGACAATATTGTTGCTATCTTTTGAAAGAACTTATCTTTGGGAACCACTTTCTCTGTTAGAATTCATTTCCTCCTCTTCTTCCTCCCCCTGATTCCAGCCTACTTTTCTTTTTGATCTTTGTGCTCCCGTGAGTCATTATTATAGAAATCAGCAAGATGTCTGTCAAGAGGAGTAAAAGAAGAAATCTCGGCGAACAGCAGACCCTGAGTGGATGAGAAATGGGGAGTTCTGCTTAGCATTACGGCTTTGAATCCCAGGCATACTTCTGTGTTCTTAGTCTGGGAATTGGGAGGGGTTCAAACTTTACCTCCTCCCCACTGTGATCCAAGGAAATAGGACCGGAAAATACTGCCAGATGTGAAGGCTTCCCCCTTAGTTAGGTATTAAAGGATATAAACAGCTGTTGATCTCTACCATTGAAACATGGAAGAGAGAAAAGCTTTTATCTGTTCCTGGATTCTAGCTGAACTAGGATACCCGTGCTGTTTCAGAAGTTGAGCTGTCTCAGTTGGGAAAATACCAAACAGATGTGGCTCCCTTGTGAACCGTAGTCTCCTCTGCTCTCCCTTGATCCCCCCAGCTTCCTTTGTTAAAAAGCCAACAGATGTCCCTGTTAAAGCTCCTAAGACAGCAGTAACTTCAGAAGCAAGAGCCACCTCCTCCTCGATTGTATTTCTTTAACCACTTTTAGAGATGACAGAAAAATAGAAAGCCTCAGCCTGTTTTTTAAATTCTGTGGCCTGTCTAATTACAGTAATCTTTATGTTCTAGCCCCCAGTTTCCCTGTCTTTCTGTTATATAATAGGATTTAATATCTCAGATCTGACACTCAGAAAAAAATGAGCAGAAAACATCGAGCTCCTCCAACTCATGTTTTTAAAAAGTCTTTGAGCAGGAGGAATAAGAACATTTAAAAAATAATTACATGATCTCACCTACCTCTATGGTTTTAGAATAAATGGATGTTGGGGAAGGAAAGAGCAGGGACAGGAAGGAAGAGAAGCGAGAAAGGGAACGCCCATCTATGGAGCCTGCTAAGTGCCAGGCGTTGTACCTGCTGCTGTTCATCCTTCTTAATTCTTACCATAACCCAATGAATTAAATAGTCCATTTTAGCACTGAGGGAGCTGGCATTTAAACAAGCTAAGGGGCTTTCCCAAGGTTGTACAGCTAAGTCATCATCTAGAAACCAGGGTTTGAACTTGAGTGTCTGGCCAAGAATCTCTGTCCTTGCCACCCACTACCATTCATAGCATGTATCATTGTTTTGCAGATTTTTCTTCACGTGGCTAAAGATGTCTCAATCAATGATTTTAGGAGGTTGTCTAGGATGGAGAAAATTTCAGAAAACCTGATTTTGCTATAACTTTTAAAGACATGATTTTTTTGTTTTTGTTTTGTTTTTGTTTGCTCCTGTTTAAAAATCACCTCTGAAGGACCTGAGAAGTGTGCCCTGGCCCTGTAACTATTCCCACGTTCCATTCTAAGATTGGGCAGAGGGTGACTTAGCCTCATGAATTGGGGGCCCACGACTACCTGTTCCTGCCATTCAGTCATTCATTCATTCAATAAATGTTTGTCGGGCACCTGCTCAGAGGCAGGCTTTATTTTAGGCACCAAGAGAGAGCAAAGCAGACTGAGTTCCTATCCTTGGGCAGTTTCCATAATGTCCAGAATATCTAGTTGCTCCAAATTGCTCTGCACATTTTTCTAAAATGAGTAGTTTGCTCAATGGTCAAGTGCATTGTGGAAATAGTCGCATCCCTTTGGCAACCTTTCTCATGAGACTACAGCTGTGTTTCTTCCTCTCTCAAAATATTATGACAGGAAACATGAGACTATAAAAATGTCCATAGGGATGAGCTTTTCAGACGTGGGGTGTCAGGGAACTGAGTTTATAGTTAGCCTATAAATTTCAACTTTTTATTTTCTATTGTATGTCTCCCTCTTTTTTTTATATATAAATCTATTAACACTGGTAGGACAGAATGTACATCAACAAAATATATTTATGGTGTGGTAGAACAAACACTGGACTTGTAGACAGACTTGGATTTATTTAGCTAGCTTTGCCATTACGAGATGCTGTGTGACGTTGGTAAACATGTTGCCTCTGAGCTTACGTTTCTCTGTTTGTAAACTAAAGATTATAATTTGATCTCACAGGGCTGTTGTAAGGATTCAGTGAGGCAGTGTGGGTAAAAACACCCAGCCCAGAGCCAAAAGCACCCATAAGAGGTGCTTAAAATAAATGTGTGTTCGTTGCCTCTCTCTCT